AAGTCCACTGTTTGCCCGACCCCCGCTGCAGACCACTGCCACGTTTCCAATAACCTGCATCTTGTCTTCGCAGCTGGAGGCCGTGAGGCCCTGCTGAGCCCCGAGTGTGTCCCTGTCCCCAGATTCTCAGGTCAAGGCCCCAACCCCCATGTGGCTGGCCACGGGCCCGACACACCACTGGGAGGGATGAAGGCGAGATGGGTCTGAAGGGTGGGGCGTGCTCAGGAGCAGAACCTCCGCATGGTCTTGGCCGCGTGCTTTCGGCCGTATGCGGACACAGCGGCCAGGCTGTGGCTTCTTAGCAGGACCCGGTGAGCTGGCACGCGGTCTTGCGCTGCGAGGAGCGAGCATGTGTTGTCTGAGCCGCAGGTCTGCGGCACTTTGCACCGTGAGGACACAAGACAGCTCGAGCCCGTGGGGGCAGTCCCCGCCCAGGCCTGTGTCCTTGTCATGCCCTGTGACGGGGCTGCTCACACTGGGATTTCCCAGTGACCAAGGCCCTGCTCCTGCCACCCACTGTCCTCCAGCAGAAGCATGCGGGGGGCAGGCCCAGGATGGCAGCTCCCAGGAGCCCCGGGCAGTGGGCTCCTGGCACCAGGCCCGGCCTCAGCCTGCAAACAACGGGAAGAGAGTGAACACGTGTTTTCTGCACTGAGAGCCACTCTGACGGCCCAGACGCCACGAGCTGCGCGGTCACAGAAGCTCCTCGAGTGTCAGGCAGAAGACATAAGAGTTAGGGTCCTGGAAAGCCGAGGGCACCTTTAAAACCTCCGCTACCAGCGAGCACGGGAAACATGTGGGACACACGCCACCCACGATCCCTGGACCAGCGTGAGCACGGACGTTGGCCAGGCCGAGGATGCTGGCGGGCTGCCCGCCCAGAGTGCAGAATGGCCAGACCACAGCTCGCCACGTCGTCCCGTCAGTAAACCAAAACAGCCACACGCCAACAAAGCAGTGGTCGGTGGTCAAGACGCGATGGGCCGGGCCAGATGCCGACACCGTGGACAGAGGCACTCGGCAGGGACGCTCAGGAACGCGCAGCAACGGGGCTTCCACGACATGCTCGCGCGAGTGACGGCGCGACCCTGCGAGCATGAGCACCACAGACAGAGGCCCGGTCACGGAGGCCACTCAGACGGGGGCGGCGGCAGACACAAGAGAGTCGGGAAAGGAGGGTGGGCTCGAGGACACCGTTTTATGTCCTAACAGAAGGACACACGAGATAAACACGGACACACGGCCATGACCAGCAGACCGCAGGGCACACAGTCTGGACGCTTTCTGGACGCTTTCTGGACGCTTGAACTTGTTTTCAGTGAAATAAAGTTTGTTTTACAGACATCGTCCATCGTGAGACATAAGGAATAATGAGCTCATGTTGTCGGGATGGCGACTGGACTTCACACGTCCTCACAGTGCGCTCCCACTGGGTGTCGGGAACACGCTGGCGGCCCAGAGCCTGCAGGCTGAGCAGGGGCGAGGACACGGGCCTGTGTGGCCCCCGAGTCCACGCCACACAAGACGCACATGACAGCGGTGCCCTCGGCCTCCGGGCTGGCGGACACCCCAGAGGACATGTGCACGTCCGGCAGCCCACGGGCACTTGGGACGGGAGCTCTGCGGCTGGCCACGCGGAGGGAGTGTCCCAAATGACCCAAGTCTTAGCGCGGTGCTCGCCTCTGCCTAGAGACGCAGCAGCTTTTCTTCTGCCGCTCAACAGCCCGGCGAGTTCTGGGAACTGCCTGTAGAGAAACGCTTAGGTTGGAGGGTCTTTGAGCAGCTGACAGCTGACTGATGGCCGCCCGGGAGGCCACAAAGGGGAGCGGTGCGGCGGCCGCATCACATCGCCTCTCCCTGGGAAACTAATTGCTCCCAATTGTTCCGAGCAACATTATTTTTCTGGCAATCATTTCCTTTCAATGCCCAAAATGAGCATGAAACAGCTCTTTTGCCCGGACATAAAAGTTAAATGTCCCAATGTTGATCAAATTAACTTGAGCGCCAGGACAATAGACTGTATTTCTGAGAAAATAATGGGGGACAACGGGGCGCTTCATGCCAAGATTTCACAGTTGTAACGTAAAATGTTTTGTTGGACTAAGCCAGGCCACGTTTCAAAGGGGGCACAGAAGAGCCCTGTCACTTGTGCAAAAAAATCTCATTTCACGGCCAAAAGCCTGGGGAGCCGTCAGGAAGCTGTGGCGCTGGCGGCTCAGGAGGGACGGTGCTCCAAGCTCCCTGCCCCGTTTCAGCCACAGAACGCGCCCTGAGCGCTCCACCGTGCTTAGCCGTCGGCACTGGGGGCACGCGCGCCCGCGGGAGGATGGGTCACCAGGTGCACCCAGGGCCCTGGTGCAACCCGCCTCCCAGGCTGACGCTCTTCGTTAATCACGCACGGAAAGCAAAACGTTCATGAACTGCACGAGAAACATTAAAATTATTATTTGTATAAAACCCAGAGAGCCTGCGGCCTGTGCTTTCTTAATGCTGACATCTCAGCCAGGAGTCCTGTCGGGTGAGCCCGGCCGGGGTCAGCATCAGCACCGCGGCCACATCCTCCGCAAGGCGCCCCGTGGCACTCACAGTCGGCACTGCCAGGGGGGCAGATGCTTCCCGGGAGTCTCTACGCTGCAGACAAACGCTTTTTCTCTTAGGTTTCCGTACACCGTGTGCTCATTTTGGAACAACCTTAGATTTACAAAAACGTTGTCCCCACGGCGCTCGGTGCCTCCGGGCTCTCACACAGGCCTCCATCCGCGGCACGGGGGGACGGGTATGCCGGGCCACTGTGCCACGTCGGGCCGGGTCTGACGCCACGGGGAGATAAAGCCAGAACCAGGCAGGCTCCCCTCGCAGAAGCCTCCTTGCTGTCTCCCCGCGTCCCCCCAGAGCACGGCGGACAATGCTCCCTTAGGTTCCCAACGCCGTGAATGGGGCACTGTTGGTGGCAGCGTCCATTCAAAGGCCAGCGTGGCATTGTCCTCCCGATCGGCGAAGCAGAATGCAGTCTGCTGGTGGCTGCCAAAAGGTTAGGCGCCCCGATGAAAGGATGGCCCGTCACTCAGCGCCCGTACAGAGCTGCCCTTTGTGCGGGGCGGCCCGGCCCTGCTCCGTGGAGGTCCGGATCTGCAGCGGGCTGAGCTCCGCACAGAAGTGATTCATGGGAACGCACAGTTGCAAAAAAGGGCCCCGAAACCCAACGGCTGCTTTCCCGGAGGCCACGAAGAGCAGCAGTGCGGGCCGACCCCACTGACAGCCTGGCTGCAGTCACCCAGACCAGACCGTTCAGGGGTCCATCCTGACCCTCAGACTCTGCGGGAGGTGCCGGCGGGCAGGCGCACAGAGTCCAGCCGGCCGGAAGGCCCACACAGGGTCCCGGCGCCCACCCACAGCACCCATCAGAGCAGCTCGGGCTGGGGAGCCGGCCCATGGTTCTCCCGAGGTGCGCCCTCCCCTGAGGGCCGCTCCCTCGCACATCCCTGCCTTCCTGGCCCCTCCAGGAGATGGCTGGCCAGGGCCCACCCAGGTGTCCTGACCGGCCCGGGCAGTGCCGGTGTTACCCCAGCACAGACGTGGGGCTGCGGAGCCCTGCATGTTGGGGGCCCTCCAGAGCGGGTGTGGGTGAGAACAGGATGGGGGGAGCTCCATGTGGGCGGCCATGGGTCGGCCTGCTGCAAAGTAGCGCCGGGACTCAGCTGCCCATGCCCAGGCTTCAGGCTGGCTCAGGCCACCAGGCCCCCGCAGTATCCTAGGCGTCCAACCCACCTCTGAGCCCAGCTGAGCCTGGGCCCGGGGGGCCAACACATAGCCTGTTCTGGGCTGACGGCCAAGGCCCTCCATGCGGGAGCAGCAGCAGAAGCAAACAGACCTGTGTCTCACATGCGGTTCCTCCGTGTGGACCTGGCAGGGGCAGCAGGAGCCAGGGTCCCCAGATGTGACCCGACAGCCACCGTCCCACACGTGATGGCATGAGGCTGAGAGCCAGCTCCCTGTCCAGAGCACGTCCCTGCTGAGTCCCGCGAGCAACCCAGGAGGGCCATGCGTGTGTGGGGGGTGGGCGGACGAGGCTCCACGCAGGCCGGGGCCAGGGCGGTGCTGGGTGCAGGTGGGAGGGCTCAGCGGTCAGAGTCTAAGTTCTTGGCACGTGTCCGCGGACGCCCAGCTCCGCGCCCTGGGATGGAGCAGAGGTGGGGTGGGGCAGGGCCCCCAGGGAAATCTGAGATTGCCTGAGCAGAAACGGGGACAGCTCTCCCAAGGCCAAGTGGGTCGCTGACACCCCTTGGGGCATGGAAGCTGGCAGGGGAAGGGCTGACCTGAGGACTAGGCAGAACCAGACGGCCCCACGGACTCGGGCCCCATGGACCTGGGCCCCAAGGACCCGGGCTGCGAGGCTGAGCCTCAGCAAGCCAAGAGTGACGCAGGCCCACGACCAAATGACCCCCACTGCTGGTTCATGGAGCAAGGGGCTGTTCTCCCTTCCCAGGTGCTCACCAGTCCTGACCGCCAGCACGGTCACAGTGAGACCACAGACACACAGCATGGGCACGTGTGGGCAGCAGGCCGGCCACGTAGGGTCCAGCCCAGCGGGAGCTCAAGGAATGGACAGAATGAAGACAGGCCCGTCGGAGCCAGGGCAGGTGGGCCGCGAGGCCTCCAGGCCCGCAAACCCGGGACCGAGCCCAGCGGCGCCATGGAAAGGCCCGCCTGCGGTCGGTAGAACGTGCAGCAGTGTCCCCGCGCCCTCGGCCAAAGCGTGGGTGCTCCAGTGGACGTCTCTGTACGCTTGCCTCGCTCTCCGGGAGGCAGGCCCCCCACCTTCAGGTCTGTCTGGCCAAGCCTGCACAGGCCTTGGGACTGGGGCTGGGATTTGGGGCAACATCCGTAGGTTTCATATTTCAGCCAACAGGAAACAACCAACGTGGGCAGCAAGGGCCTTGAGAGGGCGCGAGCTGCCATCCTCAGAGGAGGTGGGGCGGGAGGGGCGGTGCGGCACCTACCTGTCGAGCACGTAGCCCAGGGCCTTGTGCCGGATCCCCGAGTACACTGAGGGGCTCGTCTCCCAGGCAACCAGATTGGAAGCATCATGAAAAAGATGGATGTTGACCAAGTCAAAGGCACTGCAGGGACAGAAGGACACATGGTGACAGAGGGCTGGTGCCACGGGGCACCCGATGTGGCCCAGCTCCCCAGGGCGTCGTGGGGCCCAGGCCCAAGGGTCACAGCAGGCAGCACCCCCTGCACCCAGCCCTGTCCTCCTCGGCCGCTTCATGCCCCCCAGAGCACATCCCCTGCCTAGTCAGAGCAGGGCACACGTGACCTCACAGTCTTTAAATATGTCCGGCCAACAGGGAAGGGGCTATTTCAACTCTCCTCCACCAGGAGGGAGCAGGAAGGATGAGAACAGGAGGGCAGAGGGAAGCAGGAGGGAGGGAGGAGGGAAGAAAGACGGGAGCAGGAGGAGGAGAAACGAGGGGATGTGAGGGGGAGAAAAAGAAGGAGGGAGGAGGGAAGAGGAGGAGGCAGCAGAGACCGGGGCCTAGACCCCAGGCGCGGGCAGCGGGCGGTGTGGCCAGTGCCTCACGGAGCTGTAGACCACTCCCCATGAGGCTGTGACCCCGGAGGAGGGACAGGACAAGGTTCCTTCTAGGTGAGAAGCCCCCGGGCCCACAGCGGCAAGAAGGCCCCAGGGAGACCCCGCAGCAGGCGGTCCCTGTGGTAGGGATACCCCGCGGCAGGGCGTCCCTGAGGCAGGGAGTCCCCGTGGCAGGGACACGCGCAGTGAGGCCAGATTCTGGCCGTCAGCCCTCCCACTGCATGGAGACCCCCGGGCATCACGGGAGACGTGTGGTCTCACAAGGAGGTCAGCGTGCCCACACGTACACCACGGTCGTCACAGTGCCCGGACTGCAAGGTCGAGGACCCCGTGAGACGCATGTGCCAAGCTCACAGCCATTTCCCGGGGCGGTGGGCGGCTGGGGGAGGCAAATCCTCTCGCTCACACGGGGACCCCAGGACGCCCTGCCGGTGCCCACACTGTGTCGCAGCGGCCAATGGGGCGTGAGCGAGGGCAAAGGGCACTTGCTGGACCATCACAGTCTACAGCTCCTCGTCCCCCCTCCCTGCCCCCTGCCCCAGGAAGAGCTGCCCAAGGGCCCCAGGGAGGGCACTGTGCCAACCACAGGGGTGGCTGAGGGCCTGCCTGGGATGGACACCTGGCAGGCACTCAGTGCCCCCACCCGTCTGGACGTGCCCTCAGCTGACGGAAGGCCTCCAACAGCTGCTTATGGGACACACGTGGCTCTAGGACCTTAAGACCCATGGTCCCAGGGGGCTCACATGAGGAGACCAGGTATGGGGTTTCCGAAGATTCTACTGGGGCAGGAGACATGCGGCCGCTGCGGACAGAGAGCAGCCACGGGCAGGCCAGGCCCGAAGGTCGGCTTGGGAGGTCTGCCTGCCCTGTGCTCTGTGCCCATGGCCGCTGACCGTGGCCTGTAGAGGGCTGCCCGGGCGGCACCTGGACACTGGTGCCCACGGGAGGAAGCTCTAAGGCCTGTGTTGGGCCTGCACCGGGACCCCGGACTCGGGGACCAGGCAATGGCACTGTGTCACACAGAGTATCCGGAAGCAATGCCGGCAGGAGAGCGGCGGGCAGCCTGTGACGGGACGTGCAGCCACACCACGGGTGCAGCACACAAAGCCGGGGAAAGCATCCCGAAGGTTCTGAAGGAGGCAACAGTCACCACGACAAACGTACCAGTCTGCGACACACCACCGTGTCCGAATGAAGCCTTTTCTGGACCACTTGCACTGAAAAACAAACAGGTTGCACAAATAAGCCAGCTGAAAAGAGGAAGGGGACGGACACAAGTCACAAGCCGGCGGCGGGGGGGGGGGCACCCAAGATGCTTCTCAGTCAGGAAAAGCAATGTCCATCCTTCCACTGAAGGCTTCTGCTCAGCACCGGAGGGCAAGCGTCCCGCACGAGGCTCGCCACAGAGCCTCACGTTCCACGCCCGGGAGGGCAGGTTTGGAACCACCGGCCAGCGCGATCTTCTCGGTGAGGGCGGCCTGGCTGAGCAGAGGACGGCCTGCACGTGCCCACCGCCTGTGCTGACATGGCCCTCATCCGGCGCGGGTGACCGTCTTGTGCACCGTGCTCACGCCGGCAGGGAGGTGGGTGTGGCGCTGTGACCTGCTGCCCCACACGGGAGCCACGGCCAGCGGGACCATCAAGCGCGGCACACGGTCTGTGCTGTCTGGATTCATTCCATTTCAACAGCCACGCCGGACAGGGCAGCTCACAGCCCAGGCCGTGAGAGTGGGGCTCCAGCTCCCATGCCCTGTGAGCCCCAGGAGGCACTGAGGAGATTCCCCTGAACCCCCAGTTTGCCAACACTTTGGAAAGCTAGATGGAAATGTGCAGTCTCCCTGAACCCCAGGGGCCTGTCCCTCTGCTGTGTGGGCAGGAGCAGCTGGGGGGGGGGTGGAAGAGGGGGGGAGGAGGGCAGGAGGACGGGAGGAGGAGGAGGATGGAAGGGAGAGGAGAAGGAGGACAGGAGGGGGAGGATGGGAGGGGGAGGGCAGGAGGATGGCCGTGGTGACGCATGTGACCTCGGGGGCCTGAGCTCATGGTCCCTGTGGTAACCGCGTACACCCGCGGCAGAACACTGGCGGAAAGCGCTCCCCGTGTGAGTCCAGAATCAGAGGCTCTAGACACCTCAGTGACGAGGTGTCTTTATTTAATCGAATAATTCAGCAGCGGAAACCCCCTGCTTGACCCCACATTCCCTTCAGTCACTGTCCTGTTTCCTCCCTTGGGACCAGCTTCACAAGGTGCCCAGCTTGGTTCCTATGGTGATGCCCTGCTTGGGGGGGTGCTGTCTTCAAGGTCACCATGACCTCCAGGTGTAAATCCCGAAGCTCTGCAGTCTCCCACGGCTAAGCGTCCACTGCATGCCCCCCAGCCCCCGCCAAGCTCACCAGGCTGAGCCCGACAGCCCTTCCTGGCTCTGGCCTGGGCTCTCCCTCCTCTCTCGCACAATCACGGATGCTCTGCTGGCACGCACGCTCCATGACGCTGTGGTCCTTGCTCTCCCAACGCACCCATAGGACCTGGTGTGGGTGTGGGAGGAGAAGACAGGGTGCCCCACCTGCTTCCACACGAGCAGCGTGGCCGTGGCCGGGACACGTGAGACCCCACGCCCCAGCCCGGTGCCGAGCTGTGCCGCTGAGCCCCCAAGCGGGACCTGACCTGACCACCATGGGTCTTGCCCATTAAAACTGGAAGGCATTTGTGAGTTTGATGTAATGAACCAAAAATTAATGATTCTCAATTGTCAATTCTCTGTTAACTAAGGTCTCCGTACGCGTACCCCACGTGTGTACCTTCAATAGACTCCACGTGTATTATCTTTTTTAGATGTTTAAATTACCCACGATAAGGGAACGTTGTTTAACATTATTAGAATATGCACATAAAACACAAGACGTGTTGCTTTTTTTAATGTAATAAAGATTTGTAATAGCTGTTAAGTTTAGAATTCTAACTAGATTTAAGGTTTTTAATTACATTGCAAATAAATCTCAAAATAGTTTGACAGTATAACATTAATACGCCCAAATATTTTAACTAAGAGTTTGTAGAAAAGACTTCACTTTGAGGTAAGTTCATCATCGCAATCACAAATGCGTTCAGGCTGCATTTCTGAGTGATTTCCCCGGACGAAGACGTGGGGCTACTACCCATGCCTGTCACGTTCTGACCTGTTGGTGCCTGGGCTCCACGGGCAATCTCATGTCCTTGGGCGTCGCTGGGCTGCACCAGGAGCCCTTCCAGAAACCGCCTTCCTCTCCCATGGTGGGCCCCCTGCCCCTCCTCCTAAGGGCCGCAGGTGGTCACGACAAGCACCACGACGGTCACTATGACGATCACCGCTAACCGACGGAGCAGAGCCAGAGCTGAACACGGTCACCCGCCCGACGCTGCCGGCTCCTTGCAGGGAGAACCAGAACTGGGATCCCCTCAGCCCCCTGCCGGGACATCCCTTCCCTACTGTGGCTGAGCCCTGAACCAGGGACGCTCGCCTGGGCCACGCAGGGGCAGGGCGCGGCCGGAACACACCCCGTCATCAGAGGGTACAAGTGCCTGCCTGGGAAGGCTTCCCTGCACAACGTCCTACGGAAACGCACACACGCACGCACACGGCTGTCCTGCACCCGCGAGGACCTGCACCGGGGAAACCAGTGCCTCCGTCACAGGCTGGGGGTTCCCTCAAAAGCAGACTGATGTGTTTCATTCCAATCACGTGCAGAAACTTTCTGGGCACCAGGCACCTGCCGAAACTCCTGGCGGGCGACCACGCACGGGCAGCAAGGGCCGGGTGCCCACTCTGCTTGCTGAGAGGCTGTCGCCACGGAATGAAACCATGTCACGCCAGGCGGGGGGGGCGGGCTGTGCCACATCACTCACCTTGCAGTATGAAGTCCCCACTCAGACCCTGTTAATAGGATTCCTTTAGCCAGCAGATGGATGGTGAGTGCAGGACGGTTCATCCACTAAAGGACGGCATAAATCAGCGTGGAGAAAAGGGAGGCTGTGGGGAGGTTATCAGCACGCAGCCTTGCCGGTGAAAGCCCCGCTTTGGAGCATTAGTGAAATTAATCCATCTTTCATAAGAGCTCGGAGCAGTCCCTGTGATCTATGGTAACAACCCATTTCTCACTACGGGCGAGAGGGAACAAATGCCTCGGCCCTGATCGACTACACAAATCTGCTTTTTAAAAATGGTCTCACGTTATCCGGAGCGCTGCTCCCGGAGGCAGAATTTGAAATTCATGCCGAGCCAAACGCACCCACAAATCAGCACAGAAAGTTTTGTTAGTTTTGCGCGCAGCGGGCTGTCATGGCTTGGAGCCGCGTTTGCCGCCGTCGTGGTAATTACACTTAGGCTACCCTTACGCGAGGCTAATAGAAGAAGAGAAATCAGGCTCAGACAATTCTCTCCCCAAAACGTGCTCCAATAAAGCTAAAGGATTGGCTCAGAGGCTGGAGAGCAGGGCCGGCGCCGGGCAGGCTCAGGCCCTCCAGCCCCGCCCACGCGGCATCCCCATGGCACCCCCAGCCACAGCCTCAGGGAACGCACGGATCGCTGCACGCCAGAGAAGCGCGGGACGGCCATGACGCGCGAAGCCTCAGTATTTTTGTGAAAGAAGTTTCTCCTTCTGTGCACTGAGCCACGCTGGCTTCTGCCTCACCCACGTGTCGGCACACACCAGACGCAACTTCTCGTGCGGCGATATCCCGTCAAACCAAGGAAGGACGGCGACCCCAGGAGGCCGGGACCGCTGCTCTGGGGCTCACCGGAGTCCCAGCAACACGCTGCTCTCCAGTAGAGAGACTGGGGTCTGCCCACTAACACCCCACCTTTCCTTCCAGAAAATGTTCTCTTGCCTGTGCATGGGGCCATGGTCACCCGGGACCCCCCCACTTCCCTCACGGGAGAGAGGCGGCCGCTGGCTGTCAGCACGCCCCACGGAGCCACGAGCACCTCACGGACACAGACGCCCCTGGTGGCGTCTGCCCTCTGGAAGGTGTGCAGGACATGGGACAGCGCACCTGAAGCCTGAGACTACATCTGACCCACCTGCACGCCAGCCCCAAGCCTCCTCCCCCACAGGGCCTGGGCCAGCAGAGGGAAGAGTTGGGATCGGGGCCAGGCCACAGGGTCCCCCGTGTGCCACAGTCTAGGAAGCCGGTGTTTGCAGACACCAGGCCCAGAAAACAGCCTGAGGGCCAGGGAGCAGGGAGCCCCTCAGGAGGCCTGCTGTCCTGCAGGGACAGACAGAACTTTGGGGGCCGGGGGCTCCGCAGCGTCCGACTACGCTGTGGTGGCACCACCTGGCTCTCTCCTTCCTCTGGCGCCCAGAGGGACGTGGCACCGGCCATGCAGTCCTCTTCTCTGGTGGCATCACAGCTCACAGCTGACCTCGGGGGCCTCTAGGGACCTGGGCTCTGAGCACGAGGGGGCCCAGTGCTGGAAGGAAGAGGGACCTGGGAAGTGAGCCCCACATACAAGGAGTCACACATGGAGTGATCGGCGCGTGCCCTGCCCTCAGGGAGTGAGTGTGAGCCCTGCGGCAGATGCCACGCCCCCCCACTGCATGGAGATCGGCCTGGAGAAGCCACGTCCGGGTGCCTGTGAGCCCCCTGTGCTCGCAGAGGCTCTGCTCAGCTCTTCCGCGTAGAGGCTGGGAACCGAGGGCCGCTCACGCCCCAGCAAGAGCCGGTCCACAGCCTCCAGGCGGCTGGACGCCATCGACAGACGGCACTGCTGGGGGTGGCCTCAGACGCATCCCCACCTGTCCCCGGGTCATCACACCGGCGTCCCCCCCCCACCCCCGAGTCCTGCCTCTCCCAGGTGCACGGCCCCTTGTGTCTTACCCTTTGGGGGTACACCCCAGCCAGCCACCAGGCATAAGTGAGTGCCGTCCTGGGCCGGCCGGGCTCTGGGCTGAGGACGGAGGAGCCAGGCGGCCCCGAGTGTCAGTGCAGTCACTCGGGCTGCCGGAACAGAGTGGATGAGGCAGCTGAGAGGAGCCTGGGGGCTTCTCAGCCACTGTGCACCGTGCAACACCCCTGTAGCGAAGACGCTGGGTACCTGCCCCTAAACCGCCCTGAGCCAGTCAGAGCTGCTCTCCCCTGCTGCAGAGGCCCCCGCTCTCTCCAGCGCCGTCTCCACTAGGGCCCGTGGTCACTCTCAGTGGCCCCGCTCAGCTCTGACGCCAACTCTGTGACCCTCGCCGTCTGCAAGGGGACAGCAGCCCCAAAGAGATGGGCACGGAAGACTGCCAGGATTCACTCCACGGCTTCCAGAGCTTTCCAGCCACATCGCAATGTCAAGAGAAGAGGGAACCGTGGGGGCTGGGACAGCCAGGACAGAGGCCAGCCCCCGACACTGCGTCCTTGGCTCAGGGACGAGCGATGAGGGAGCTGTGTCCATCCTTCATGGCAGCGGCCGCAATTCCTTCACCCCGGACCATAAACACGTTAATACGGCCGTGGCCTTGCTGGAAGTCAGCTCCAAGTGTGGGTGGGCGTCTGCAGACGGTGGGCAGGCCTCGCGCGGACAGACCGGGCGGGGTAATCCTTCTTGCGCTGAGCCGACCTCCGCTGTGCCGGGGAGCCCACCGTCCCAATGCTTCAATCACAGACGCACGCGCCCCCGTGATGTCAGACGATGGATGGACAGGGAAGCAACTCCAGGTCAGCGCACGAATCACACAGGCTTAGCAGACCCCAGACGGAGGACACCTGAGTCTGAGATGACCTGTGCCGTGTGATGGCCGCGCCAAGTAACAACCCCCGCAAAAATGCACCAGACCCGATGGAAATAGATGAGCACGGCAGGTAACGGTGCCTGAGGCCTCACCCAGCCTTCCCGGGGGGGGGACACCCCTGCGCCCCAGCGGCCCGCACGCGGCGGCGTCCCTGGCCAGCTGCACCTGCTCCCTCTCCGGACCCCACAACCAGCTGATGGTGATTGTCCCACCTCGCACGGGGAGGGTTCCTTTGCCTGGAAATGATGGTCACAGAACGTGGTGATTCGTGCAAACGTGGTGGTTCGCCCCTCGGGAAGACCGCCACGCGGACCCACGCGGGCCCGAGAAGCCCCGGAAAGACGGCCTGCGGGAGCACGTCGCCAGCTGGGGGTGGGACCCTCCCCGGACCCACAAGGCCTCCGGCGCTCACGCTTCCTCACAGAGGCACGTGCTCTGAGGGCGAGCGGGCCGGGGGCCGGCGGCCGGCGGCCGGGACGCACCTCGGGAAAGTAGTCCTGTGGAAACTTCTCTTTCTCCAGCATGGGCGTGCTCTCCAGCGTGTCCGAGTAGATCTCTTTGCCCGTGACTTTTTTATACTTCTTGGCTGGAAAAGAGCAGAGGGGTGACATGAATGACCTCATGGCCGCATCCCACCCAACCCGTGCAGCCCCACAGGGAGTGCAGGGGGCACCCGGGGAGGGGAGGGTCCGCTGCCCCGGGGACGCCGGTGGCTCATAAATTCGCACTCCACGACCCGGAGCCCGACACGCCACTTCATTATCCTCTCAGACCTTCCAGCAGCAGATTTACAAGGGCTAATTGGCTTCCTCTGTTAAAACTGCGACTATATTTAGGACAGCTGCAGAATTACCCTTCGCTCACACCTTCATACGAATTTACTTAGTGACATCGATTTCCGCCTCACATGCAGCCGACATCACTCACGTCCGGGAGTTTTTCTTGAGGCGGAGGCGGAGGCAGAGGCAGGACGGTGTGGGGTGCTCCCTGGACTGCGTGCCCGGGCCGACACCCCCGTGGGCAGGGCATGGTCTAGTCCTCTCATACCCAGGCCAGGCCCCTTCTTTCCGCCGACGGGTCACCCCATGCCCACAGTGGAGTCTCACAAGGGGCCCCCACAAGATGCCACGCCGGGAGCATGGCAGCAGCGGGCCCAGATGGCTGCCCCTATGCCGGGAATATCTGGGACCAGGTGACGCTCCCGGCCATTAAGAGGCTGCTGGGGGACAAGGGATGAAGCGTGCTGTCCATTTCTGTGGGGTCACGCTCCCTGTCCCCTGGCAGCCCACACCGGCAGCTCTCAGAGCACACAGGCCCCACGGACCCACTCGTGGGAGCGGAGAGCGGGAATGACATCCGTGCGCAGCATCTGGGGACAAAGCTCTGGCCACTGCGTGTTTGGGGGGGAGAGTGAACCCCAGGTCAAAGCAAAACACTGGCAGGCAGGGACTCCAACGGTCAGCCGCACCAGCGTGGGACGGGATGAGACAGACGTTGGGTGAAGGAGGGAGCTCAGGACAGAGCAGGCACATGGAGCCGTCCCCAAACGCAGAGCTGCACACTCACTGGTCTTGTTACCAAACACGGGACGATCGCTGAGGTGACTGCTGTCTGTGATTCTGTCCCCTCACCAATCACCATGGCCTCTGGGGGCCCGTGGGGGGACACAGGACAAACCCCATTAGCCGGGAGGCTGGGGCCAGGGGGCAGGTGGGCACGGCTTGCGTCAATGATAAAGTGACCACCACGTGGCTGTGCTCCGGCTCCCGACACCCACCACCACCAGAAACGCCGCAGAAGCACGTCCAACGCGGGAGGCCCTTCCTGGAGCCGCCCATCCGTGTCCGTGCGTGGTGCGTGGACAGCAGTGACCGCCGTCGGCATCCTGGGAGCTGGCAGCATAAGCGTCCACGTGAGGAGGCCGGGGCCACACGGCCCAGCACAGGGGAGCTCCGCGGGGGTGTGATCCACGCCTGGGGAGTGTGGGCCGTGCGCCCCGCCCGCGGTGTGATGGTTCTCCCGTGGCCTCAGCCTGCCGTGTGGGCTCCTGACCCGCCTCGCCCTCCTCCCTTCCCACCCGGGGCCCTCTCTCGCTCCCTCCTGGCACCGAGCCCCCAGCAAAGGCCCAGCTCAGCCTGGTCTCTCCTGGGCTCTTCCTCCGGCGGTCGGCTCCTGAGGCCAGGCCCGAGTCCTGACACCAGGCTGCAGGCCGTGGACGCCCCCAGGACTGACGCCCACGGTCCTCGGCGAGGCACGCAGTCCACAGCGCTCCGTGTCAACCGAGACGGGGAGAGGAGACGGTCGCGGGGAGGCAATTCTGCTTCGGACAAAAACCCTCATCGCCGTAGAGGACGAGACTGGGGGAGTGGGAGCGGACGGAGGCCACGTGCTCCGTGAACAAACAGACCGTCCTTCTAGAGCAGCCGCCCCAGTGTGCCCCGCGCGGCCCCTCGCTGCAGTCCGCACGGGCGCTCGGCGCTCCCAGCGCGTGCTGTGCTCCCGGGCTCCCCCGGGGCTGCACCCACTCACCCTGCCCTCCCCACCCCTGCAACAGGGGCTCTTCACTCCCCGTCTCCCGCCTTCCCTTAAACGTCCCCTTGTCGCCAACATGCTGTCGGGAGCCTTTCCCAGCGGCCCTTCACTCGGAAATACTCATCTGGTTCTTCGTGTCTCTGGGGGCTTGCCGGCTCCTTTCAGCTCCGGCTCTGCAAGGCTGCACCGCGCGGACGGACCCCGGCTCGCTTCTCCGTCTGCCTAGGAAGGACGTATCCTGGTTCCTTCCAGTGCTCGGTAATTAGGAATGAGGATACCGTAGCTCCTGCTGCAGGTTGCTGTGGGGACCGACGTCGTCCTCTGCTGCGCGTGACGGGCCGGCAGTAGGACTGCTGGGCCGTGCGGCACGCGTGTCGCCCACAGGAGACAGCCACACCGTCCCAAACGGCCACGGGCGGGGGCGGGGGTCCCGGCTGCACGGCCTCCGCATCTGCATCGTCTGCGCTCCGGCCGTCGGCCGCCCCGGCGGGTGCCTGGTGGTGTCTCCTTACGCGTGATACGGAGCCCATTTTCACAGCTTTCTCTGCCATCTGTACGTCTTCTTGACTCAGATGTCTGTTGACATTTTTGGCTCATTTTTTAATCGGATTGTTTTCTTATTGTTGAGTTTTAAGAGTTCATGGCAGATTTTTGGTTCACATCTTGCCCAGGCCGTGGCTTCTCTCTCCATCCCCTTAGCTGTGTCAGAGCAGGATCTGAGGAAGCCCGGCTCATCCAGTGTCCTCGCGGACCGCGGTGCTGATTTAAAAAGTCGTCACCAAACCCCAAGTCACCGTTTCTGCACCACCTTCCGGGCATTTTACACTTTCACACTTTACACATCAGTCTCTGTCCGCTTTCGGTTAACTGCCGTGCGGCATGCGGTCCGGCTCCGTACTCACAGCTCAGCAGAGGACGTCTGGTTGTTCCGGCCCCATCGGCAAAAGACCGTCTTCAAGGCACTGCACTGCCTTCGCTCCCTCGTCGCTGGCAGCCGCCCACACTCATGGGGCCTGTTTCTGGGCTCTGCTTTGCGCCGTTGACCGTTTTGTCTTTTCGACGACACAACACTTGTCTTAATTACCGTAGCGTGTATAGGGCGTCTCAAGTCGGGTGGTGTCAGCCCTACAACGTTGTTCTCCCCTTTCGGCACGGGGCTGACGGCGCTGGGTCTTCTCTCTCCGTGTCAACTTCGGAACCGATTTGTTGGTGTCGACAACGCAACCTGCCGGAATTCGACGGCGACGGCAGCGTCTCGGTGGGCCCAGCAGGGAAGAACCACACGCTGACAAGGTTGCGTCTTCCTGTCCATGAACATGGGACAGCACTCGGTTGACTCCGATCGTCTTTGATTTTGGCAGAGTTCTGCGGTTTTCCTCATATTAATCTTGTCCATATTTTGCTAGGTTTATTTCTAAGTCTGTCTTCTGTGCGTGTGCTAATGTGAATGGTTTTCTGTTTTTAATTTCGAATTCCATGTCTTTGTTGCTGGTTTAGAAAAGCCACTGGCTCCTGCACATTAACCTTGTGTCCCGCCACCGTGCTCGTTTGCCCGGTTTCTGTCGTGGGTGGGTCTTCCAAACGTCCGACATAACCACGTCATTGAGGACTAAGACCGTTTTATTCCTTGCCACCCCCATCAGTACACCCTCCATTTCCTCCTCTTGTCTTCATGCACAGCCAAGATCTCTGGAGCAGTACGGAAGGGAAACGGGGAGAGTGCACACCCGTACTGCACACCAGAAGCATCCGGGCTCTCACCGTGACGTGTGATGTGAGATGTGGGTTTCCCCAGCTGCTCCTGACCAAGGTCTCTCCCCAGTTCGCAGAGACCCACTGTGGGAGACGGCAGACTCACGCAGCCAAGCACTGTTCTGCGCCTCTGACGTGGCCGCGCGGCTTCCTTCCTCGGCTTGTTGACGTGATGTTTCGTTAACGGACTTTGAGACGCGGAGCCGGACTCGCAGACCTGCGTGAACTCGGTTGTCACGACTCTCCTGACACGCTGCTGGACTCAAGCTGCTGACACTACGTTGAGGGTCTCTACACTTCATGCTCAGGAGAGATACTGGCCTACGGTTCTGTTTTTCCGGAGTCTCTGTTTGGTTTTGGTATCAGGGAATGTTGGCTCAGAGTGAGTGGGAATGTTCCCTCCGCTTCTGTTTTCTGGACAATGTTGCAGAGAACTGGTATAATTTCTTCCTTTAGTGTCTGGTAGAATTCACAGTAAACCCATCAGACCTCGTGCTTTCTCCTTTAGGAGTTTATTAATTATTGATTCAATTTCCTTAACAGATAAAGGCCTATTCAGATCACGGAGTCCCCCAGGTGTGAATCTGGACGACTGCATTTTCCAAGAAACTGCCTCACCCACATCATGAAGCTACAGGCGTGGACCTGCTCCCCATATACCTTCATTGCCCTTCAACGTCCACAGCCGGTAGTGATGGCCCCTCTCTCATCTCTACTGTCAGTAATTGTGTTTTCTTTCTTTTCTTGGTTAGCCTGACTAGAAGAGTATCAATTTTATTGATCTTTTCAAAGAATCAGCTTTGGGTTTTGCTAATTTTCTCTACTGAGTTCCTGTTTTCAATTTCATTGATTTATGCTCTAATTTTTATTATTTCTTTTCTTATGATTTGGATTTATTTTGCTCTTCTTCTGGCTTCCTAAGGCAGAAGCTTCGATTAGCGATTTTAAATCTTACCTCTTTTCTAACACACACACTTGATGCCACGAACACACTTTCACTACATCCCACAAATGCTGATAAGCTCTATTTCATTTTCATTTAGTTCAAAATATTTTCAAAATTTCTTGAGATGTATTCTGACTCATGTGCTATTCTTGAAGTGTGTTGTTTCACACCCAAGTGTTAAAGTAAAAAACAAAGAGAGACCAGCCTTTAAAGTTCCCTGAACAAAGCCAGTTTGGTCATAGAAACAAAGCTGAAATTAGCTTATTTTGTAAGACTAACTTAAAGTGGGTCATTCCTTGCTTATCTAAAAATGATGAACACTTACACTGATTTGCATTGTTGATACGAGGTAACCCCGAACCTATTCCCATCATTTAAGAGAATTCTAATACCATAACCAATCACTGCTATGAATCAAGTCACTGCCTCCACGCGGCATGAGCCATCTTACACCAAAATACACCCCAGAGCCCCACTCCGTGTTTTGGTTTGAATGCTCGAGTGTGCAAACTGTCTTGTTGATGTGTGCACAACATACTTTTACCAATTATTACTTCAATGATTCACTGGTTTTACTTCTGTTATTTCTGAACTTCAGACACAAGTATTTTGGGGTTTTCTCGCCGTCTCTCTGTTGCTGATTTCGTGTGAAAGTCCAAGGGGTCCGGGAGTGTCCTTTGCATGACGTTGGTTCTTCTAAATTTGTTGAGGAGTGTTTCGTGGCCCAGAATGCGGTCGACCGCAGGAGCCATTCCGGGGAACTTGAGGAGAATGTGTGTGCGGCTCTCGCTGGGGAGAATATTCTAGAAACGTCGGCCGGACCCCGCCGACCGACGGGGCAGTCGAGTTGAACTACATCCTCAGCCATCCTGCCTGCTGGATCTGCCCGTCTTTGGCAGAGGGGCCCTGAGGTCTCCACCTGCGGCACTGGATTCATCCGTTTCTCCCGGAAGCTGTCAGTTTTGCCCCGTGTGTTGTGATGCTCTGCTGTCAGGTGCGTACACGGTAAGACCTGTTCTGTCTTCTTAGAGAACCGACCCCTTTATGGTTGTGAACTAAACCGCCTTCTCGATCCTCAGTCACTCCTCACGCTGGAGTCTGCTGTGTCTGGAAGGGCCGCCGCTCCTCTGGCGTTCTGACTCGTGTCCGTGCGGTCCCTCTCCCTCCATCCCTTGACCTTTCGTCTTCGTGGGTCTGTGGATCCTACGCGGGCTGCCGGCAGACAACGCGCAGCGGGGTCTTACCGTTTTAACCGCTCGGACCGCTTCCGTCTCGTAGCTGGTGCACTTGCCGTGCTGGCGCCTGCAGGGAGCCCCGCGGGGGCTACGCTGAGAAGCTCCTCGTCGGCACCGTCTCCACCTGCTGCCTTTGTCACCCCCCTTTCTCCGTAGACGCTCTGGTCTAATTGAGCATTTCATGGGATGCCATTCTCTCTCCTCTATTATTAACATGCCAGCTGTATTCTGTTTTAATGATTTTTAGTGGTTGCCGGAGTCTACAATATACGCTTACCACCCGTCCCAGTCCACGCTCACGCCGCTCCGCACCCCTGCACGGAGTGAGGGTCCCCGGCTCCTCTCTCCCGCCTGCCCAACATCACGGTTACTCGTCTCACTAACCCACAAGCTACGGTCACCCCCATGGTGCTGCTGGTGACGCTCTGAACAGAAGTTACGTCAGATGAAGGATGATAAGAAACAAAATGCTCTACCTTCACTTATTCCTTCCTTTACACTCTTTCTCTTTCTTTCTTTTTTTTTTTTTTAAGATTTTATTTATTTATTTATTTGACAGGCAGAGATCACAAGCAGGAGAGAGGCAGGCAGAGAGAGGAGGAAGCAGGCTCCCCGCTGAGCAGAGAGCCCGATGCGGGGCTCGATCCCAGGACCCTGGGATCACGACCTGAGCAGAAGGCAGAGGCTTTAACCCGCTGAGCCACCCAGGCGCCCTCACTCTTTCCTTCTTAACGTAGATGTACGCATCTGACCTGATCGTTTTCCTTTTGTCAAATAACTTTCAACCTTTTCTGCATGACGGGTCTGCCGGAAACAAGTTCCTGCAACTTTTGTTTGAGAAAGTGTTCTTTTCTCGCTCACTTCTGAAGGGTAACTTTGCTGTGTACAGAATTCTAGGTATCCTCTTCTACCAGCAGAAATACCTCACACCCCTCTCTTCAACTCCATGGTTTCTGAAGAAAAGTTCGATGTCTTCTTATCCTTGCTCCTTTCTAGGTCACCTCCCCACGCCCAGCCCTGTTCTCTCAAGGTCTCTCTCCGTCTTGGACTTTCCGCAGCTAGTGTAGACACGCTTAGGTGCAGGGTGTGGGCATCCGTCTGCTCAGTCACCGATGAGCTTTCTGGGTCTATGGCTCAGTGTCCATGATTAATTCTGCAAAATTCCGGGCCATGACTTCAAATTTGTCTTGTTCCTTTCCTCTCGGTTTCCCGGCTGCCGTCCCTTTGTGCACGCGCCTCACCTTCTGTGTGTCCCACGGGGCTGGGAATCTTGCTCTGCTTTTGTGTCTTGTTTTTTTCTCTTTACTTTTCAGTTTGGAAAGTTTTCAAAGACGCGCTTCTGGCCCAGTGGCTCTGTCTTCAACCACGTCCAGGCTGGTGAGCCCATCGGAGGTCAGGTGCATTTCTGTTCACGTTCTGTGTTTTGAGCTTTTCCTTTTGATTCACGAGCTTCTGCTTTTCCATCTACACCCTCAGCACATCAGTCACGGTTCTCTGAAATGCCCCATCTGGCAGCTCCACATCGAGGCCACATCCCACTCGGGCTCCAACATGCACCTGCTCTCTTCACACTGTATCTTCTCCTTTTCAACTTGGCTTATAACTTCTGGTTGAAAGCGAAACACGAGTAATTGGAAAAAAGAATGGAGGTCGACGGGACTTTCCTACGAGGCTCTGGTGAGGAGCTGGGCTGTATTTCCGGGAGGGACTCGGGGGCTAACGTTTCCTCCCACGTTCTGTTCTTGTCTCCTCTGCTGTCTTTGCGCTCCCGTGAGACTCCTTCGGAAACAGACGGTGAGCTTGGCAGGCTCTGCCGTGACTCCTGGGGTGGTGACAGGCGCTGCGGCTGGGGCAGGACACTGTCCTATCGTCCGGTGACCTTGCCATGGTCCTTCCGCCAGCATGAGCCCAGCCTGCAGCCTTCTGGCGCGCTCGCAGCCCTACAGCCCCTCGAGTAGCACAGAAGGCCAGGGGAGGCTGAAGTCACCCACTACCTCCCCCAGGCCTGCTGGGCAGCTCTGGTGACATGGTTGTCCTCAAGGGCAGGCCTTTCGCGAAGAACAAAGGACCCTGGGCACACTTCCACACGGCTCCTTCCCTCTTCCCCGCCAGAAGCACGAGGGGGTTTTTCTCTAATCTTCCCCATGACGACATGGTGAGGCTCCTATAGCCGATGCTCACCAAAGTAGGGGGGCGGCCGGGGGGGGGGAGTTTCTCTCTCCAGCCTCTGGCCCTCCACGCCACCCCCCAGCATCTCCCACCAGTGCCAGCTCCCGGGGGCTCAGGGTCCGCCTGCCTGTCCCTCCAGTGTGGGGACAGCACAAGCCCTGGGGCTTCACTTCTCTAAGGGATCGGAGAGACTCGGCCCCACCATTCCCTCAGCACCGTCCACGCTCTCCAGGCGTCAGACCAGAAACCCACGTCCCTTTCATCCACACCTTTGGGTAGTCCTCAACTTTCTAACTAAGTACTAAATTCAAGCTGTTTCTTCTTAAAAAGTTTATTCAAGCTTTTCACAGATGTAAGACCGTTTTTGCTGTAACTTAAGTCAAAGCATGAGAGTGAGCCTTGGCGAACCGCGGCCAGGGCGCAAGGGGCGGGCGTTCCCGCTCCCGAGACCCGGTGTCCCTGGGCCCCGCACCTGTGCTGTGGGCGGCTACGCCACGTCCGGCCGTCGGAGCACCACCGAAGCAACACATACGCGGGCCACCGACGTGCTCAGGGCACAGTCCCCACCACCGCGTCTGCCCTCATCGCCAACATCAGCGACATCACCCTCGTCATCGTGGGGGCCGCGCGGGAGGCTTGGGGAGTCAAACGTACATCTTCTCAGTTTCCGAGAAACCGCGGGCCAGCCGGGGTGTCATGACTGATCTGATCTAGTGACACGACGTGCAGGGGAATGGTGACTCCCAGGAAGGGAGAAGTTCAGGGGCCCGGCTACGTGCCAGAGCTCGGAGGAGTGGAACCCCGTTCTGCTTCTAGCGCCACCTGGGGCACGCGGGGACTGGAGACCTCCCCTCTGTCCATTCTTGCCCACAGCCCCGCTGCTGGAGAACACAGCCCGGGCGCCCAGTGTCTAGTAACATCGCGGGGACAATGGCCTCTGGCCCGTCTCCCGCCAGGTTTGCAAGGCTACCCCAGCAAGTTCCTCGGTGGGAAAGCCACGTGCTTGGGTTCCAAACTGCGCAAAGAACCCTCAGGCGATAGGGCCAATGAAAAATCATCCTGCTGGCCGGGATCCTGTTCCCAACATCGATGAAATCACTGCCCAAGCAATTTAGGAAAGACTCTGCGTCTCCCTTTCAGAAGAGGCGATCGGTCTCCTAAGTGAGTGGAGATAATGAATCTGAGCGACTGACATAATTAGTCGCTCTCCACGGTGATTACAACTTCAGTGACACCTCGGACTAATGGGATCTGCCTCAGGGGCCGAGCTGGAGGCCGAGGACTCGCGTGTGGCGTGAAGAGAGGGTGTCGCCCCAACGCCCCAGCCGAGCAGGAGGACACTGGGGCTGCTGGGCTCCGGGCTGCGGGGCTCCCGTGTGCGGGGACACGAGGACCAAGGCCGGTTTCAGGAGCCCAGGAGCCCCACACAGCACACGGGCCGGCCCAGGAGCGCAGGGCGGTTCTCCCTCCACCACGACTGCCGGCTCGTGTAAGAGACACCACCCAAGCAGGCCTTCATTTTCTCCCATTTGATTCGGACACAAGGTCGTTCCCTCCTCCCCTACCTGGCTCTGCAGGAGATCCAGCGGCACTGGCCGGCCCTGTCCTGGGAGCAGGAGGAGCGCGGGCTGGGGGCTGGGGGTCCGGGTCTGGGGTTATAGTTAGAGGATCCAGTGCGGGGCCTGGAGTGTGATCCAGGTTAGGGTAGGGGGTCTGGGGCAGGAGTCGGGGGCAGGGGTCCAGGGCAGGGGTCTGAGGCAGAAATACCGTGGATTCCAGGGGCCCAGAGCACCAGGTTTGCACAGGAGGCCCCTGGTCAGCGGCTGTGCCCCCCACGGGGATGCTGGGTGGGGCGGGGGAGCCCAGCCAGGGAATCCCGGAAGAGTCTTACCTTTAAAGTCAAACTGGTAGATGTTTTTTAAGGATTCATGAAGAAAATAAAAGCTTCCTAATGCCTGCAGAGCAAACAGAGAAAGTGGGTGAGAGCAGAACAGCTTTAAGCTCAAGCACTGACTCAAGCCCTTGTGAACTAGGACGGAACTGCCTCCTCAGGGCTCACCCCCGCCACCGGGATGAGACGTCAGTCACACTCAGCGGCACACACAAAGCCCCTCCCCCAACACGGGCGCCAATCGAGCGCGGTCTCCCTCGGCTGGAGGCGCCCGGGGCCCGCGGGAAGGGCTCCGACCCCAGCGCCGTGCTCACTGTGTGCTGCACCCGCCTGGGGCTCCTGGCAGCCACCCCTGCACCGGCCTTCTCTGCCCGCTCGTCCTCCTTCCGCACGCGCAACTGCCACCCACTCCCCGCAGCGCCACCGGCTGGCCCCGCGGTCCAGTCTTGCTCTGGACCCCAAACTGTAGAGGCCAGGCTGGGCTGGGGTGACCACCAGAGGAGGCTGCGTGGGACACCTGACCCTAAAGGGACCTGTTTCTCTGAAATTCAAACTGGGTGTCTTGTATGTGCCTGTGCACGCATATATGGACACATGTATTCCTCTGTGAGGCCGTATAACGTGTGTGCGCGAGCATACGTGTGTACAAATGCAGGCCTGTGCCTACGTACCCATGTGCATGTAACACACACGTGTCCATGTGTGTACATCCGCGTATGCACATGGCTGCTCACACCCGTGTAGATGTACACGTGAATGTCCATGTTTCACGTGCGTGCACATACATTTACACACACACATGTGTAACCCTGTACACGTGCACAGACACCTACGTGTCCCTGTACCTACGTTTTGCTCCTCCACTGAACCCGGCCACCCAACAAGGTTCCTGGGGAGAGAGGCTGCGGCGGGGGCCGCTCTGCAGACTTGAGCCCCTGACAGGCTGTGCGGCCCCGAGAAGGCGCCAGGAGGTGAACGTGGCAAACCTTCAAGTCCCCTCGCCAGGCATGATCGCGCTGACACGACATCATGAAGTTTACAAAAGGACACGGAAAAGAGACTGTAACCCACAGAGCAGGACATCCATAATCGGCTCTAATGGATACTTAAGTCAAAGCTGAAGCTAACTTTCTCCCTGTTTAACCTGCTCAGTCGGTACGTTTGGGCCACGCTTCAGTCACAGGACACGGCGACGTCTGCACAGAAGCGCCCAGGCCCGCGGACGGGAGCCTGGTGCTCGCAGGTCCGTCTGTGCTCTTCTTGTCTGAGAATACGGACTGCTTGCCCGTTTTACTAAAAACAATTAAAATACTTTCTACATATTTATAAACCTGACTGTCAAGAGCGGCAATTAATTCTCCATTAGTGACAAGCAACCCGGTCGATGCCGTACTTTTGCCAGAAGAGCAAATGCAAGGTGGGGGCCCGGTCCTGCCCGCGTGGGGCCAGCCTTTAGGCGTGGCCTGATGTGCGGTATGCGCGGGGCGGGGGGGGGGAGCCGGCGTCTCCCCGCACAGAGCCAGGGCCCTGGGGCTCTCAGCATGGGTCGGGGCGGACCAGGAAAGGACACCGCAGCTCCTGTGCTCCGTGGAACGTGGCAGACGACGTGTCTCTGAGACTGGCTATGGCCTGACGCTCGCCGCCGCCATCCACCTGGGCGGAGAAGGGGGAGCTCTCCACACACTCCCGGGGAGTGGCCTGCGCAGGGCTGGGGTGGCCGGGGCCGGGGCAGGAGCCAACCGGGAAGGAACACGAGGCAGCTCGTTAGAAAGGCCCCCATCACTTTTCATTTGCAGATAGATCAGAGGGCCAGTAACTTATCATCCCTGCAATGAGATTAGCAGCCAAAGTACAGATCGTCAACCTGAGCCTGCGTCCGACTTGCTCTTCCAGAAAACTAACGCTCAAACCAGAGCAACAACAGTGAGGGGCTCTCAGGGACACGTTCTTCTGCAGACACCACGGAATGCATCTGAGCGTGACACCGAGGGTAACAGTGCCCCACGTCCATATCCGTGTCGGCGGCCACCTCCCGACAGCCTCTGGAAAGCCCCAGGGCCAGACCCATGCCCGCCTCTCCTGGGGGGGTGGGTGTCCTGCCTCTCCCAAGGGACGGGGCTGGCTGTGGGGGTGGGGTGGGCCCAGAAAGCCGGCTGCAGGGTCTGGGGGTGGGTGGGGTCCCAGCCCAGCGCAGCTTGGGAAGTCCGACCCGCCTCAGAGGGCAGCTGCACTACACAGGTGCCCCCGGGGCCTCTGGGAGTCTCTGCTCCTCCAGGACGGCACACTGTGCTGTCTCTACAGATAAAGTGTCTGCAACTTGTTAGTTTTTAAAAATAAAAAAAAAAGTGGGCACCTGAGTGGCTCAGTCGTTCAGCGTCTGCCTTCAGCTCGGGTCATGATCCCGGGGTCCTGGGATCGAGTCCCGCATCCGGCTCCCTGCTCAGCGGGGAGCCTGCTTCTCCCTCTGCCCCTCCCCCACTTGTGTGCTCGCTTTCTCTCAAATCAACCAATCAATCAATAAATATAACATTTTTTAAAAAGCAGAAAAAATAAACAGATCTAAGAATAGGAGAAAGAATTTCATGCGATATTGTCGGTAAGTTTATAACCAATCAGAGAAACTTAGTTGTTCTAAGTTAGAACTATCAGACTTGAATGAATGATGGCTGGAGAGTGTGATGAAGCCCCTGGACCTCGGCCCACTCTGTCCCCGGGCGGGCTGGCCGCGTGGAGGACGCCGTGGGACGCTGGGGCCTCCCCGATGCGGTGGGGCGCGCACCGAGCAGGAGAAGCTCCTGGAGGACGGCGGCTGCACACACGCCGTCCGAGCTCCCGTCTGAGACCAGAGAGCGGCTTTGCGTGCGCAGCCCAAGACAGGCACCGGACAGGCAGGCGGCCCCGAGTGCTGCTCCGGACGCCGACCCCTTGTCCAGATCTGCAGCGACCCCTGTGCACAGGGACACATGCGACGAGACGGCGTGTGCTACAACGCCCCACAGCTCACACGCGTGGGACACGCGGCGCTCACTCAGGGGCGCTGGAGCCCTCAGGAAGCGACACTTGTGTGTGGCGGCCCTTCCAGGCCCTGAGAACCGGACACTTCACACGTGGAGGTGGGTCGGCGACACCTGAAATACTCCCGGGACGGCGCCCTGTGCCGCAGGGAAACACGTCACGCGCACACCAGACGGGCCTCGCGAGGCTGAGAAAGAAGGATCCTAAAACTTCACAAAAAGCTAACCAAAGCAGCTGAAAACAAAAAAAGGTAACGTTATTAAGATTATACCAAAACAGGAATAAAACCATAAATACAAAATTCAGAGCAGGGATCACCTGGGGGGTGGGGTGGGGCAGGGGCGGAGCTGCAGTGACATGGGGACTCCAGACAGGTCTGCTGTGCCCTGCAGGGCTGACGCCACCGGCCTCTCCCCATGGGTCTCTCCCCGTGGGTCTCTCCCTGCAGGTCTCTCCTCTGTGTCCCGGTGTCAGTGCAGGTGCCACCCCCGCCCGACGACCCTCCCGTCCCTGGCGCTTCGTGGACGCCTGGGGCTGCACCCCAACCCCGCACCACGCCCGGGCTCAGGCGACCGCGGTCTTTGCGGCTCGGGTGGGCGGAAACGAGCACATGGCGCGTCCCTGGGGCTTTGTCTCCATCGCACCCCGCTGAGCGCCTGTGCCGAAGGCCACTGGCGACTCAGTTTTCCCTCGCGAACTCCTCACTCGAATCCTTTTTCTATGTGTCTTTTTCTCATTTTACAAGGTCTTAAATTTTTAAATATGATCTGACATTATTTCTTTATCTATGACTTGCATTACAAGAATGTCTCCCTCTCGAGCTTGTCTTCTTAGAGCATCTTTGATTAAATGAAAAGTTTTTATTTTTAAATTAATCACGGCCCCTGGGTGGCTCCGTCAGTTCAGTGTCTGACTCCTAATTTCAGCTCGTGTCATGATCTCAGGGTCCGGAGATCAAGCCCTACCTTGGGCCCTGTGCTGAGCCTGGGGCCTGCTTGAGGTTCTCTTTCCCTCTCGCTGTGCCCCTCCCCCCCCGTACACTCTCTCCCCCCAAAAATAGTCCAATTAATCATTAATCAATATTTTCCCTTATGGTTTATGCCTTTATGTCTTATTTGGAAATAGTTCCCTAATTTGACTCCACAGTGATATCCCATTCTCAAGGGCAATCGGTAAGAGTGTGTTCTACGCACTTAAGACTTTAGGGACCAGAGACTTGCTAGTGGGTGTGGCACAAAGGGAATTCCAGGGTTATCTCACCATCTGCGGAAACCCCCCGTCTGGTCCCCCCCGTGACTGACCCTGTCACTCTCATGTTCCACCCGTCTGTCCACCAGTGTGGGGATCTGCTCCAGATTTCTTGATTCTGCCCAACTGATCGATTTCTAGTAACAATGTTTCCTATTTTGGCTTATAACATGTCCTGATATTTACTAATGAAATGCCTCACTTATTTTTCCTCCATGTACTTCAGATATTTGGGGCTGTTTGTATCTGCACCAAACTTCAGAACGGCTGCTGGTCTACCCCCTCGACACCCTGCTGGGCTCGGACGACCGACACAGAGACTGCAGGTGACGGCGACATTTTGGGGGTACTCCGTTTCCTTCCCATGAGTGTGATACATCCTTAACCATACATTCGAGGTCTTTTAAAATGTCTTCTAACAAAGTTTCATCATTTTCTCCATAAAAGTCTTAAAGACCTTTTGTGAGATTTACTCTTTGTTATCTTTTAGTTTCTGTTACTATTAGAAAGTATAATTTTTTAAAAAGATTTTATTTATTTATTTGACAGACAGAGATCGCAAGCAGGCAGAGAGGCAGGCGGAGAGAGAGGGGGAAGCAGGCTCCCCGCTGAGCAGAGAGCCCGATGCGGGGCTCGATCCCGCATCCCTCGCACCCTGGGACCATGACCCGAGCCGAAGGCAGAGGCTTAGCCCACTGAGCCCGCCAGGCGCTCCAGAAAGCGTAATTTTTAAAACCACTCCCGGTTTAGAACCATTTGCTGCTCGTGAATCGGAACGCTACTAGCTTTTGTACATTAACC